TGATACAGAACAGAGATTGCACGAGCCGTGTGCGTGTTTGTGAGGCGATGACCAATCCTTTATTGTAACATAACGTCGTGGTTTGCATGCAATGGCGCTGGCTGAGATAAGAACTAGACGGATTTTAAGAGATAACGCGGACTGGAAGCAGTCTACTGAGTCCCGTGCTTATCCCGTCTTCAACCAATCGTCGGGTGGATTCATTTGCAATGGCCGTTTTTATAGGATAGGATAGGATAGGATAGGATAAGTGCTTTATTATCAACAGAGCGCCTACAGACACATGTGTTTACAACGATAACAAAGATTTTCGTGCAATAATTACAGAGGTGTACATTTGTAAAATTTATACAACTATTAAACAAGGTTATATTTAACGCGTCTATCTCTTTCGCGGAAGCGATCATATACGTATTTAGCCACAATTTTTTGCGTTTTCTCTCCTTGCTTCATACTTATCAACGTTGTAAAGGCAGAGCTTGCAGTCATAGAGTCAAGAATAAGATTAGTTTCCTTTTTTAGCGTATTGAACAGCTCTCTCCTAGGATCCCTATAGGCTATGCAATAGCTTTATATAGAGGACGCAGTAGCTGTCGCATTTGCCCGCTGGAATTTTTTATTGCCTGCGGCTACGAAAAAATAATAACGCCGCAAAATTTATTGTGTCTTTAAAGACCTCTTTGAAGCAAAATAATTCGTAAGGCTTCATCGGCGCACCATAAATCTCTTTTTTCCTGAAAAGTACACTTCTTAAACTTTAAGAAGAGACCAAATAATAATAATGTACGTTGAATATTCGCGGACTTTAATCTCTCTCCAGTCTCGCTCTTTGTTTTCAGCCTCGTTCCCGTTGACTGCTCGAGCGTACTTGAATACGCAAAAATACGTACTGTTTTGCAGTCTAGATTTTTCGAGGATTCTAAGTTCCCCAGAGTAGTCAATCGATAAAAGTAGGTAGTAATCAAGTGATTTTTATCGTTTTTTCATGGTTTTAACGATATATAACGGAAGTCTGCCATTGTTGTTTTTGGGCACGAGTAAGAGAACACATCCACAGGTAACAACTGATCAGCAAACATGAAACTGAGAAATGTGGAAACTATTACACACACAACTTTCTCTCTAAAACCCTTTCTTTTGTACATAATAATAAAAAAGGTTCGGTTTAATTACATTCAGGTTTCACAGGTAAGTAATCACGAGAAATGCATCCTTAGATAAAGATTTCCTAGCCTAAATTCCACACATTCGTTCGAGTCGGGATTCAGGCGGAAAGATTTTCTTCTATAGATTTCCACTGTTTTCCGATATCATTCGATGAGAATCATTTGATTGCTAACGACTTTTATCTACTGACTACTCCGGGTCCTCCGGGATGTAACTGCACCCGGATCTACACCGACGTTATTTTGAAAGGGTGCTATATCTAAATCTTGAAAAACTGGGCGCCTATAGATCACCAGGCCAATATAAATAATAGATAAATCGATAAACGAAACGAGTGTGTCATCAATTTCTACCGATTGATCGATATAATCGATATCAATCAAATCAGATTTACCGATTTTTATCGATTGACTACTCCGGGTAAGTTTGCTTGCAAGACCACTAAATCTTACGCAAAATGAACAGGAGGAGATTCTGTTGTTGCCCTATCATGCGCTAAATGCAGATCGCAGGCCGCGTATTGCTGACGCGTGAATTAATTACCACCAAGGCGAACGATGTGCGAAGACCGCGGTCGTGGTATGATGATGTCACGATCACTGCTTTTGTTCATTGCTTGCCTCCTTGGGCTCGAATTTGTCCAGAGCGGAAAAAAATGCTGCACTAATATGCGCTACATGCAAAAACACGCATCGAATCAAAGTCTTGTGTGCAAACTATCGCTGAACGAGGTCGTTAACCTGAGATCATGCGTTATTATTATTATTTTTTAATGCTTCTCTGCTTCTTTGGCCCGAGAGGAAAAAAAAACAGAGATAAAGGGAAAGGGCATGATCGCAGGCTACGTGGTCTTAGAACGAGGCAACCAGCAACTGAAGAACGGCGACAAGTAGACACAGGAAGACTGAGGAAACTTTTGAACACGTATTAAAGTACTCATGTTTTTTCAGTAAACCTATATAATGAAACATTTTGTAAAACAAACATTTAGGTTTTATTGCAAAGTATCCCAGGGGGAATAAAATAATTCTTTTTTTATGGAGAGTTGCAATTGGTGGGAAGAAGTCGCCACCTCTTAAACGGATGACCGTATAAATGGACCCCACCTGTAAGATGAGTACCCAAGAAAACTCACTCTACCGTCTACACAAAACATTTATTCTCCTGGTATTTGGACAGCTAACATGGCGAGTTGAAGACACCTGTTTTGGAGAGGTACTCCGTACCCCACATAGAGCCACACCCTGCAACTACTCTAAGAAGTTTCCGAGCGCATGGCACAGTTTTCTAAATGTAAGAGTGCATATGATTAAATTACGTCCTTTTCGTTAGGTTCCCTTTTGCAAATAACGATGTACTGAAATAGCACTATCATTTATCTTTTAAGGATGTGATCTGGAAGTAGAGATGAGGTCACTAAAAGCCGAAATGTACAGACGGTTTTCCATAACAGGGAAGCGCCCCATCTACACCCCGAAGAATTCCAAGAGTTGTGTGCTGAAGCTGAGGCACTATCTATATTTTCTATTATTCTGGCAGCCATGGCCAATAGCAGGCACTCCAATTGACGACCACAGAAACTAGCATAACATACCATAATGCTCTTTGCTTGTCACCCCCAAATTTTGCATAAGCAGTGTCTTCAGTTTCTCTTGGGAGTTAAAATGGCCCCAAGAGAAACTGAAAA